GCGGGAGCGCGCGCGAGTCCCTATGTCCAAGTTGGCCAGCATCGAATCTTCCTTGCGGGAGGGAAAGTGGCAGTGGCGGGGCCCCCCGATTCTTTCGAGCTGGAGAGCCAGACTCCCGCTCAGCTCCGTCGTAATTACTCCCCCCTCGCTCCTCTCTCGCCCATCCGTAGTTTCTCCATCCTCCGACTCCGCCCCTACTATTTCACCCACCCTTTTTATGTCTGCCGGTTCGTGCCCAATTTCGCACTCATTTTTCTATTCGCGCCAGTCTGTGTATTATTCCACCCACCTTTTCTACACCCACAGTGTGCGTATGCCTTCCAGTTTTTTCCCTCCGCTCGGGTGGCGCTGGCGCTCCTTCTTCCTCCTCCTCCTCCTGCTTCCTCCTTCGCCGCTCATCTCGACTTGTGCTGTGCACCACGTTGTGGCATTGCAGGCCGCGCCTGTGGCCATGCTCTCGTGCGCTCGCCAGCCGTCATGCGCTCCTCTGTCTCACGCTGTGGCGCAGCTTTGCCGTTGTGGTATGCAGCGATCGAGGGTGAGGTCTTCGTGGTGGATGAGTTTCGCTAAGGGGGAAAAAATGATCCACGCCCACGCGATCGGAGGTTACGGCCTACTGCGCCCTGCCCAAAAGGGCACGGGTACTTCGGTGCCCGGCACACGCGCCGCTCCGCTCCCTCCTCTCCCTTCTCCTCACCTCCTCAGCCTCCCCCTCCCCCTCCGCATTAACTTTTCATGTATTCGCCTCGCAGCCCCATAATGCATGCTCATATCTTCCGTGCGCCCGAGATACAGGAGGCCATGGCCTCCCCCACCAGGTCCTTGTCAGGCCCGGGCGCCTGTCCGCAGTGACTGGTGGTGGTTCGCTCGTTCGCTCGTTCCTCACCTGAGCCTCCTTTTTCCTTCGCTTGTCTTAAGTCGGGCGTGTCCTCCTACAGGAGGAATGTTCAAAAGTAGTCAAAACATAGCCTGGGGATGATTTTTTGACCACTTTTGCTTATTTTGTTTGAACAGTTATTGACTACTTTTTATTTTTCGCCCAAGTCCCCGCTGTAGGGGGACAGGCCCGACCTAACGCTTGTCACGGATCATCTTCGTCCAGTCACCTTGGGAGGGCCTCGCCATCCCTCGGGTGCACGCTGCAAGGCTCCCCCGCTCTGCTGACACCCAGTCCAGTCAAAGAGTCCGCTTTCCCCCCCCCCGAGATCCGCCGCTGCGACAGAGTTGCGACATTGCAGAAAAGCACGACCAGAGCCCTATGTAGACCCCATCTTTCTGCAGCTTTTTTCGAGCGGGATCGCTCTGGGCTGGCCCTGGGGCACCCAGCGAGGAAACGCCCTGCGTGAAGAAACCACAACGCCCGGATCTCAGGGCCCTCCCCTCCTCCGACCTCGCTCCTCCTTCCCCCCATCCAGTGGGGCGCTCTGCCTCCCCTAACCCCGGATCCGCCGTGCTTTGGGCGATATCGCAAGTAGGGGGGAAAGTTCGGCCCTACTTTGTAAGCTCCTTGGATGTCGATTTCCGCGCAACTTTGCCGTGCTTGTTCCTCCTCACTCTTGCGCACAGGACCGCCCTGCTCTTCCGAGGCAGAGAATCTCCGCCCTGCCTGCTCGCATCGATTGGGGTGCATCTCTGGCACAGTTGCGCGTCGGAAAGTCAACCAAGGTAGGGCGGATCCAGAGTCAGGATGAAGTTGGGCACGTCCCTCTACAGGAGGAATATGCAAATATAGTTAAAAATAGTACGGCGGCGTTTTTCCCATTATTACCTAACAGCTTTTTGCTGATAGGTTTCTAGTGGTGTCAAAAGAGAGCATCTTGAGGCCCCAGGGGGGTCTGGGCAAAACCGGACAAGGAACCGAACGGATCCGCCAGCCCCAGGAATCCTTAGGAATTTTTAGGAATCCTTAGGAATCCATTCCCAGAACACCATTCCCAGGCCCATTTTGAATGCCTGGAGCCAACTGTAGGCCACTTCGTGTTCTTCGTGTTCCCAGAGCACCATTCCCAGGCCACATTTTGAATGCCCAGAGCCAACTGTAGGCTACTTCGTGTTCTTCGTGTTCCCAGAACACCATTCCCAGGCCACATTTTGAATGCCTGGAGCCAACTGTAGGCCACTTCGTGTTCTTCGTGTTCCCAGAACACCATTCCCAGGCCACATTTTGAATGCCCAGAGCCGACTGCAGGCCACTTCGTGTTCTTCGTGTTCCCAGAACATAATTCCCAGGCCACATTTTGAATGCCCGGAGCCAACTGTAGGCCACTTCGTGTTCTTCGTGTTCCCGGAACATCATTCCTGTACAATATGTTGATTGCCCGGAGCCAACTGTGGGCCACTTCGTGATCTTCGTGTTCCCAGAAAACCAGTCCTGTGCCATATTTTGAATGCCCGAGCTGAGGCAGGCTGAGGCCGAGGCAGGCTGAGGCTGAGGCTGAGGCACGCCGAGGCAGGCTGAGGCTGAGGCTGAGGCAGGCTGAGGCTGAGGCAGGCTGAGGCTGAGGCAGGCTGAGGCTGAGGCTGACGCAGGCTGAGGCCGAGGCAGGCTGAAGTTGAGGCTGAGGCAGGCTGAGGCTGAGGCAGGCTGAGACTGAGGCTGAGGCAGGCTGAGGCTGAGGCTGAGGCTGATGCAGGCTGAGGCTGAGAGGCTGACGCTAAGGCCGAGGCAGGCTGAGGATGAGGCTGAGGCCGAGGCACGCTGAGGCTGAGGCTGAGGCAAGCCGAGGCAGACTGAGGCTGAGGCTGAAGCTGAGGCAGGCTGAGGCTGAGGCTGTGGCTGAGGCTGAGGCAAGCTGCGGCTGAGGCAGGCTGAGGCTGAGGCTGAGGCTGATGCAGGCTGAGGCTGAGGAGGCTGAGGCTGAGGCTGAGGCAGGCTGAGGCTGAGGCTGAGGCCGAGGCAGGCTGAGGCTGAGGCCGAGGCAAGCCGAGGCAGGCTGAGGCTGAGGCTGATGCTGAGACAGGCTGAGGCTGAGACAAGCTGAGGCTGAGGCTGAGGCAGGCCGAGGCTGAGGCAAGCTGAGGCTGAGGCCGAGGCAGGCTCAGGAGGCTGAGGCAGGGTGAGGCTGAGGCAGGCTGAGACTGAGGCTGAGGCAGGCTGAGGCTGAGGCTGAGGCTGAAGCCGAGGCCGGCTGAGTCTGAGGCCGAGGCAGTGGCTGAGGCTGAGGCAAGCTGCGGCTGAGGCAGGCTGAGGCTGAGGCTGAGGCTGATGCAGGCTGAGGCTGAGGCTGAGGCTGAGGCTGAGGAGGCTGAGGCTGAGGCTGAGAGGCTGAGGCTGAGGCTGAGGCAGGCTGAGGCAGGCTGAGGCTGAGGCTGAGGCAAGCCGAGGCTGAGGCTGAAGCTGAGGCTGAGGCTGAGGCTGAGGCTGAGGCTGAGGCTGAGGGCTGAGGCTGAGGCTGAAGGCAGGCTGAGGCTGAGGCTGAGGCAGGCTGAGGCTGAGGCAGGTTGAGGCTGAGGCTGAGGCAGGCTGAGGCTGAGGCCGAGGCAGGCTGAGGCTGAGGCCGAGGCAAGCCGAGGCAGGCTGAGGCTGAGGCTGAGGCTGATGCTGAGACAGGCTGAGGCTGAGACAGGCTGAGGCTGAGGCCAAGGCAGGCGAATCCTTCGGAATCCTTAGGATTCCCTAGGAATCCTTAGGAATCCTTAGGAATCCCTAGGAATCTGGATTCCTCAGGATTCCTCAGGTTCCCTAAGGATTACTATGGATTCCTAAGGATGCCTAAGTATGCCTTAGGAATCCCCAGGAATCCTTAGGATTCCATTGGATCCTAAGGCCGTTGCCACTGCGACTGTCATTGCGAATGCGACTGCGACTGCGAGAACAGCATAATTCTACAACTGGATTCTCACCTGAATATTTAGGGGAATGCTTCCAGATATGCTTATACACATCGCTGTTAGGTTGCTTTGCCGGGATAATGTTTGACTATTTGGGGGCATTGTGTCTATTATTAGAAGTTTTCATTCCATGCTCTGCCTGTACAGCAGGAATATTCAAAGATAGTGAAAAATAGTACGGCTGCGTTTTTCCCATTATTTAATCGCTTCGCTCATTCCGCCGGCCCATACAGTCTCATGTCTGCCGTTTGCCCGAGGGCCTGGTGTCAATGCGGCGCTTTGGGGGTTCCTGGGGCCGCTTGGGGGACTCCTGGGGCGCTCGGGGGGGCATTTGGGGGGCCTCCTGGGGCCGCTTGGGGGACTCTTGGGGGCCTCCTGAGGGCCTCGTGGGGGCCTCTTGGGGCCTCTTAGGGGCCTCTTGGGGCCTCGTGGGGGCTTCTTAGGGCCGAGGGCTCGAAATGTTGTTTCGTGTTCCCTCTCTGGGGCCCCTTTGGGGGCGTTCTTGGGGCCCTCTTGGACCGTCTTGGAGGCTTCTTGGGCCGTCTTCGAGCCCTCTTGGGCCATCTTGGGGCCCTCTTGGGGGCCTCTTGGGCCCTCTTGGGGCGATCTTGGGGGCCTCTTGGGCCGTCTTGGGGCGTCGGGAAGCCGAAAAGGTGGAAGCTCCAAAATCTCTCAAAAACCTATGGAAAAACAATGATTTTTGCCTCCGGGGGCCCTATTGGGAGTGCTCTTGGAGGCCTCTTGGGGCGTCTGGGGGCTATCTTGGGCGTCTTGGAGCGATCTTGTGGCATGTCGGACCCCTCGTGTACCATCTTGGGGGCCTCTTGGGGGCCTCTTGGCCTTTCTTGGGGCTCTCGGGGACGTCTCGGAGCCCTGTTGGTGCGCTCATGGAGCGCTCCTGGAGCGCTCTGGGGGACTCCTCCCGGGACTCTCTCGGGACCTTGCCGGGGTACTTTCCGCCCGGGGACCCCCAGGGGCCGCCCCGCGCGCGCGAACTAGAGAATTGTTAACCAGTTACCGGAGATCTTAGCACGCCTCTGGCCCGTTGGGCCGGCGAATTCTTGACTATTTGGGGGCATTGTGTGTACTATTTTACATTTTCCTTTCATACTCTGCCTGTAGGAGGACATGCCCGACCTGAGAGCAGGGCCCTCACCCCGCCGCGGGAGGACTGGTGGCCGCCTCCGCGGCGGTGTGCTTCGACAGGAGAGTGCGCCGGCCGCGCCTGGCGGCCCTGGAGGCGGGCCGCCGCCGCAAGGAGGCCGAGGAGCGCCCAGAGGCGCCAAAGACCTCCCAGCGCAGGCCTCTCCGGGTGCCCGCTCAGAGGGTGGGCGCCACTTCGGGGGCGCCCCCGGGCAGGGCGGTGACCACACCCTGTGGTGAGTCGGTGGGGATATCGGGGTCACCGCACGGTTTTGGTACGCGGGTAGTTCTCCAAGGATGTCTCGGGCGACTGGGGCCTCCAGGGTCCCAAAACCGTGTGGTGACGGACCTTGCGGTGAGCTCTTTGCGGATTTCGAGGTCACCGCCGGGTGTCTGTCACCACACGGTTTTGGGACCCCCAAGCCATTGCCGCCAGGCGCAGAGAAGAGGGGCCTTGCGTTGCTTTCCTCTTCCCTATTGCCGCGTCGTTCGTTCCCCGCTCTGTGCCAGTGTCGTCGTCGTCGTCGTCGTCGTCGTCGTCGTCGTCGTCGTCGTCGTCGTCGTCGTCGTCGTCGTCGTCGTCGTCGTCAGCGTCGTCGTCGTCGTCGTCGTCGTCGTCAGCGTCGTCAGCGTCGTCAGCTTCGTCAGCGTCGTCAGCGTCGTCAGCGTCGTCAGCGTCGTCAGCGTCGTCAGCGTCGTCGTCATCGTCGTCGTCGTCGTCGTCCGAATATTGTGGGCAGGCGCGGGGCTATCCCTTGCGCGCTCGTCCTCTGCGCCCGCCTGTTCCCCACCAGATCCATCTCTCCATAGGTCACCGTATTTTTTGTTGGTCGGCGGCGCCTGGGATCCGAGCTGCGATCGAGCTGCCGCACGACGAGCCCAAGACCTCTGACGATCTGACTTTCTGTTGGGATCCCGGCGTTTTTCCGCGATGTCGGCCCTGGGGCGACCTCCTTGCGAGCCCGCTCTCCTGGGATTTTGCTGTGTTCCTGCTCGTGAACGCTTGTCACGTGTGCGGAGCTACACTGTCAATGGCGCGCTTCCCTGTGGCTTTGCTGTGTTCCTGCTCGCAACGCACACCGCCAGATGCCGCGGAGAGCTTGAGGGATCCAACCACCAAAAGGGCCATCCAAGAACGGGTCCAGAGCGAGCACCGATCTCCAGGGCAGTGGTCGGGACCTCTACGGGGGCCGCGGGCGGAGGCAGATCATCGATCGACGGACGTCGGGGAGCAGGCGTGGCAATAACGAAGGCGATCGTTTTCTTGTGCAGTGCTTTGCGGCTCGGCGCGGGCCCTCGCAGCCCCCCCTCCCTCTGGAGTAGATCTTGGCTGTTTTGGGGCGCCTGCTTCGAGCAGGTGGAGTCTCTCCCCCACAGGACGCGCTGCTGCAAACGGTGGCATGGAGCAGAGGTCCGGCGCCAGACCCCCCCCCTCCCTCCCTCCCCCCCCCCTTCCGCCCAATGCCGAAACGCCGATTAAGAAAGCGCTCACAAGGAGGCCTGAGGAGACCCCAGGAGGCTCCAGGAGGGCCTGCAGGACAGACCCTGTAGTAGGCTCCAGGAGGGCAAGGAGGGCACGTCAGAGGCGCCCTGGGAGGCCCCAGGGGCCTCTCCTCTGGGATGGCCTGGGAGGCACGGAGGGTCCAGGAAATGAGGCCCTGGCTGGGCGACAGAAGTACAGTGGAAACCCATGCCTAGAGACGCCCTGCCTGCCTCCAGGGTGCCTTGGGTTTCTTGGGTTTCGATGGTTGTGCTATGGAAAGCGTGACGGTCCAACACCAAAAATCGAGGGGCGTCCTGGGTCTCGGGGTTGGGTTTCTTGTGGAGGGTTTCTTGTGGTCGGGCCCCTACTGTGCTTTCGCAGTGGTGGAGGTCAATGCCCGCTTCTCAGATCCCCGACGTCCTGGCCTTTTTTCTGCGCGGGGCCCCCACAGAAGTCTCGACCCCTTCCTATGGGGCCCAGTCTCTCTCGCCCCTGGTTCGTTCTCGGACGGCTCGGAGGGCCCCCAGGACCGGAAGTGTCGGAACACCCCCGCGGTTATTTTTGTCCATCGCGTGGCACGTCTGGGGGCTGTCGCCCTCTGCCCGGCCTCTCCTCCCTCGCAGCTGGGCGCAAGCAGTAAGTTTCGCCCCAGCTGCTGGAGCGCGCGAGCGGCTTGCCTCTGCCCCTGCCGCCACGGAAAGAAGGGTCTGGGCCTCCCCCCAAAAAAGACCGACTCCCGGATCTGTCCTTGGGGTGCGCTCGGGTCAGAATTTCGAGGCAGGCCCAGCCGCGGCAGCGCGGCAGCTGGGGCGCCGCCCCAGGGTGCCCCCAAAGGGCACTCGAATGCCCAGCAAAGACTTCGATCTTCCTGCAGACCAGACGTTGCGAAAAACTGCGGCGCCGCGAAGAATCACGACTGGAGCCCTGTAGACCCCACCTTTCTGCTGCATTTTCCGAGCCGGATCGATGCCTGCTGGCCCCAGGGCCCGAACGCCAGGCGAAGGCGCCCGGCGTGGAACATTGCAACGCCCGGGATCTCAGGGCTCGATCCTCGGTTCGGGCTCCCGATCTGCTGTGTGTGATTGAAACGATGCGAACAAGTAGGGCGGAAATCTCCTCCTCAGAGACGTGGGGCGGCTCTTTCCACACAGGTCTGGCGGAACCCGGCGACGGCAGAGGTAGGCGGCAATCGACATCAACGGGGCCCTGAGAAGCAGGGCGGGGATGTCCGCCCTGCTTTCGAAATAGGGCTGATCCGGAGTCGGGGGGGGGCGGGTCGGCGGGCGAGGTGCAACGTGCAGACGTCGCAACACGAGGCGGAACCCATGTTCCTGAGATCGGAGCGGTGCGAATGTTTTCACACCGGGCGTTCTCGTCCGGTTCCGGGGCCCGGGCACCATCGTAGATCGAGCGGGCTCGACACATGCCGCAGAAAGATGGGTTCTGGGGCTCCAGCCGTGATTTCACGCGATGTTGCATTTTTTCCGCAGCGTCGGATCTCAGGGGAGTGGCGCAAGCCACGAATGGCGCAACCGATCCCGCGGCCTGGGGGGCCAAGGATCAGGAGGGGAAAAAGCACACAGACACAAATAATCGTCGATCCTAAGAGGAAATGTGGAAAATATGGGAAGTGGAGGGAGAGACGAACGTCCAGGCAATATGGGAAGTGTTGGAAACCCTGGGATTTGTGTCTACAGTCAACCCGCACAGTAAGGATGAGCGGCTTCCCGAAGGGTGCCCTTGCATCCTCGCCTCCTCGGCCCATCCTTGGCCACTTTCGTTGGCCGCGCCTCGCTCGAAAAGCTTCGAAATGGGCGTCCAAGGCCCTTGCATCCTTATCGCGCATCCTTACGACACGGGCCGACTTCATGTATTTGTGTGTCCTTGGGCCCCGTCCAAGGAGCAGGCCGAGGCGCTGCGGCTCGCGGAGGAGGGCCGCGCGCGCGAGGCTCTGGAGCAGGAGCGAAGGGGGGGCGGCCTCGCGATGCAGGGGCGGCGCCTGGCGGGGTCCTGCTGCTGCTGCTGCTCCTCCGTCTGACGTCTCCTCCGGTTCCTCCTCCTCCTCCTCCTCCTCCTCCTCCTCCTCCAGCTCCTCCTCCAGTTCCTCCTCCTCCTCCTCATCCTCATCCTCATCCTCATCCTCATCCTCATCCTTATCCTCCTCCCACCTGCCCCCTTCCACCTTCTTCCTCGCTTCCGCTCTGACCTCCCTGTCCTTACTCTCCCGAGGAGGAGGAGCAGGAGGATGGGAAGGAGGAGCACGAGGAGGAAGAGGAGGAGGAGGAAGTGGAGGAGGAGGAGGAGTGATGGTGGTGACGATGATGGTGGTGGTGATGGTGATTGTGATGGTGGTGATGGTGATGGCAGTGGTGATGGTGGTAATGGGGGTGATGGTGATGTTGGTGATGTTGGTGACGATGGCGATGATGGTTATGGTGATGATGGGGATGAGGGAAGGCCGAGCTCATCGCTCGATGCACCCCGAGCGGCGAGCGCGAACGCCACCCCAGGAGCGGCGGAGCAGCCTGCGCGCGGCCGCCGAGCGCGAGGAGGCCGCGCGGGCCCTGCGCGAGGTCCGCGAGGCCGCCGAGCGCGAGGCGGCGCGCGAGCGGGAGGAGACAGACCGCCGACAGGCCGAGGTCCCGGCCCACACCTCCCTCCCCCGCCGCGGCTCCGCGGCATCGCGCCACGGCGTCGCTGCCGTCGCCGCCGCTGCCGCGTCGGTGCCGCCGCCGCCGCAGCCCCGGTGCCGCCGCCGCCGTCGCCCCTGAGATCCAGGCGACGCCAGGGAAGTCGCGGCGGCCAGTCCTTCGGCGTTTTCGGTCTCTGGAGGCCGTCTCCCCTGGGATCGTCAAAAAACGACTCAGGACGAAAAGCCCGTCCCTGGGAAGAGGTCGAGATCCCTGTGGCCCACAGGAGGACGAGCAGGACGACGAGGAGTAGAAGGAGGATGACCCGTGCGAACCGGTGCAAACCCACGACTGTGCGTAGGGGATGGAGCGCAAAGGGATCGAAAAGAGAAGGTTCGGTTATAAGATGATTGAAATGGGGGCCGAGGAGGAGGAGGCGGAGAAGGAGAAGGAGGAGGAGGAGGAGAAGAGGAGCAGAAGGAGGAGGAGGGTGATGGGGAAGGTGGAGGAGGAGGAGGAGGAGGAGGAGGAG